ACCAATAGAACTGAGTCTACCAAAGTGATGTCATCGCCTCTGAGGAGCATGCTCCCGCTTTTTCTTGACGAAGGAGATAAGTAGACTGCTGTGTGGTGAACAATCGCTTTCCTTCCTGTGACTATACAACATGCTCCCAGATCACCCCTGTGAAGTAGGCCAGGACCCCAAGGGTGGGGATGACCGCTGTCTCCACCTGCCCAGAGAAGGGGGTTATCGGGTAAGAACCAACGCTCCATTCTCTTAAGTTGGTGGAGACAGCGGTCATGCATGGGACATACCAAAGCTGGTGTGTCCCCGAGAGGGCATGAGACTGGCCTAGGAGCTGGAAGAAGGAAGAACCTGTTGGAGGACTCGCCGTCCAAAAGCTGCATCCGCCGATGCATACCGCTCCACCTTGTAATGTCGTATAAATGATTTAGGAGTAGACCAGGTAGCTGCCTTGCAGATCTCTTCCACCGAGGCCTGCCGCGGCCATGCTGCTGATGTAGCTGCGCCGCACGTGGAATGAGCCATAATATTGGGTGGGGGAGTGAAATAATGTGTGATGTAAGTTTGAGCAATGGCAGACCTGATCCATCGGCCAATCATGGACGGAGATGCTTTCAGCCCTTTGTTGGTAGGGTGGAAAGATACGAAGAGGGCTTTGTTGCGTCTGAAGGCTGCTGTCTTGGCGATGTAGACCTTAAGAGCACGCCGGACGTCTAGCTTGTGCCATTTGCGCTCCAGACTGTGAGATGGAGCCGGACAGAAATTTGGCAGAGCGAGATCCAGAGCGCGATGGAATGCTGAATTCACTTTCGGAACAAAGATGAGGTCGATGCGAAGGACCACGCAGTCTGGGTGGAACACACACAAGTCCGTCCAGATGGAAAGCGCCACCAGCTCTGATGTTATGGCCACCAGAAAGGCAGTTTTGATCGTGAGATGGTGCAACGAGGCCGCCCTGAGAGGCTCGAAGGGCGGGTCAGTGAGAAAATTGAGGAGTTTGGTCAAATCTCAGGAGGGGAATCGGTGTATGACAGGAGGGCAGAGATTGGTTGCCCCTTTAAGGAACCTGCGGATGTGAGGGTACAAGGAGAGGGGCTCATCTCGGTGAAGTAAGAGAACTGAGGAGAGAGCCGACACATGCCGCCGCAGGGTGTTCAGGGATAGCTCCTTATCAAGTCCCTGTTGCAAAAAGTCCAGAAGTTGGGACATTGAATCCTTCAGAGGATTCTCCCCTCGAGCTAGGCACCAAGCCACTAAGGTCTGCCACGTAGATTTGTAGATCCTGTTAGTGGCTGGGTGGCGGGAGGCCTGAATAGTAAGGATTACTGTCTCGGAAAGGTTATCCGCCCTCAAGACCGCCCGCTCAGCCTCCTAGCAGTTAGGCGTAGCCAGCGGAGGTCGGGGGAGTGAATGGAGCCCTAATGAAAGAGGGACTGAATCATTGGTAGAAGCCACTGAGGTTCCACAGAAAGATTGACCGGGTCTGCGTACCATGGTCGGCGTGACCAATGGGGGACAATTAGAATGATCTCGGCCTCTTCCTCTTTTCAAAAGAACAGAAACATTTTATGCCAGGAAACCCACTCATAGTGAAAAATTATTTTTTTTATTTTACAAAACCATATTTCTTTATTTTTCATGTAAATAATATAATTTTTAGTGGCACATCTGTACACCCCTGAATTCTGTTTAGAAACAGAAGACAAAAACATTAATTAGGGATATCAAATATATGAAACTCCATTCAGTTAAAAACAATTTTAAAAATTGGCATCAAAATAAGCAGCTTTTAGTTAACTGATCAAACAGTGGATTAGATCAGGAACGTACAAAAGACACAGCAAAGGCCCCTAAAATTCCCAGTTATCTGTTAGAAGCAGCATAAAAAGTTGATTGCACAAGAATGAAAATCAAGTTCCTTAAAATACTTCATTGGCCAGGAATCAACACAGAAACAATTGGAAAGTTAAATGTGTTTACCTAGACTCCCACATAAGACTTCACATTAGATTATTTCCAGAAAATTACAGTATTATGATTTGCAGTGGTGATTATGTAATCTGCACGAGCTTGAAAATTACGTTTATTTTAAACATAACACTGCAGCAAGCCCAAGTTTTTAGAAAAACAAGAATTCACCCAATTAATACTACATAGGAACCAGATACCGTGTTTCCCCGAAAATAAGACAGGGCCTTATTTTGGGGGAGGTCTTTAGTATTTTTGCGATGCAGGAGGCAGAGAGCGTTGCCACTCATGACTGCTGTTTTGTTGCGCTGCTCATTAGCTTTTCAATGAAAGCACAGATGTAAACAGTGGTAGTTAAGGAATGAGGCATGTGGTGCGTCACTGGGCCTGCCACTCTTTATGCGGTGGCCATTAGCATGACAGAAGGGGCGGGATGGATAGGGTTGTGGGAGGAGCCATTAGGTAAGGGTGTGGGGGGTGCATGGGGTATGTTCCCCCTCCCTTCCCCCCCTCACCACCTCACCTTGTGTTGTTTGCGTGGCAAGCAATCAGAGGAAATGGTGGGGAGCTGCACGTCTGCATTTGGGGAGGGCTTATTTTGGGGGGAGGGCTTATTTTATCGCATGTAGCACATGCACTCAAAAGCTCAATTGGGCTTATTATCCGGGGAGGTCTTATTTTGAGGGAAACAGGGTATATTATCCTTCCATAAAAAAAGAAGTGCGTGTTGCTTCTGACACAGAATCGTTTTATGGTGGGTAATCAATACATCTGGATTTGTGATACATTTCTTGCACTAGTTGACTAGCCATATTCTAGCAGTTATGAGTGGGGGGGAAGTATAATTTCATCTTGCTATATACACTGTTAGGTAGATCAATTAAGTATAAAGTCAGGCTCTATATAATAATTACCTTAGAATAAATTATTATTTCTCTCCTGGATTATCCTACAGCAGGAAACTGGCTAGGGTTTTTTGGGATGTCACAAAAGAAGAGAGATTCCAACATAGGAACAAATCCCACTGTAATAAGGAGCACTTAAGAGATATTTTCTGTTAATGATGTCTGGAAAGTGTCCGGACATTTGTCATCTATTACTTACAAATCACAGTACATTCAAGTTTACATTCAAGGCACAGTGCAAGAGGACATTAACTGTTAGTCTTGGTCGAAGGGCAATCTGATGTTACTCAGGAAAACACATACAGCATCCAGCTCCAGCTGGCTCATCATATTCCCTCTGTCTTCTTGTCTGAAGCAGTGCCCCTTTCGACTTGTGTTCAGTAATTATGTCTTCTACTCGGGTGATGTACAGCAGAGTGACCATCACTCCAAAAAACTGTCAAGCAAACAAACAAACAAAATTGTTCCCAGACTATTTGTTTTCTCCTCTTGTCCTCCCCTGTCACCCAATAGCCCTTCGGAGGACAGCAAGAACCCATGATTTTTGCCCAACTTTGACACTGCATCATAAACATTACGCAAAGCCGAAAGAAGTAATGATGAGTTGTTGGTGAGTTCTACCTGTTTCTCCTACGATCAGGAGAGATTCCTGAGCAGGCAGGACTCTGCTGCAATCTGTGGTTCAGGATTCCTTGCCCGCCCAGTAACCTGGGCAAAAGGAGGTGGTGGAATCTAGACCAGGGGTGAAATGCTACCAGTTCGGAGTGGTTCACCCGAACCGGTAGTTAAAAAATGCTACTGGTTTGGGCAAACTGGTATTTCCAGCGATCAGCTGTGACGCACGATTTATATTAGCTAGAAAGCAGGATGTCCTGTTTTCATGTCCGTTTTTTACGCTTTGTGTATGGGCACATGCATGGAGGTGGTGCGTGTGCTCACATCTGCGAACTGGTAAGTTAAGTAGATTTCACCCCTGATCTAGACTCAGACGAGGGAGGGAGGGAGGGAGAGCAATGCTCTGTTTACCTTATAAAAAGAGTTACCTGTGGAAACAATATACCCAGCAAAATTCCAGCCATGGCGGCATAGTTGTCCATAAACCAAATGATTACAGCATTTGTACATCCTCTGATATATATGTTGTGTTGAACACTCAGGCGCTGTAAAGTAATGAATTACAACTTTGTTAATGCAGGGAGAGAAAATGGCCTTCCCCTTTCTTAACTGGAAAGTCTACAGCTCTCGCACATTTCATGCAGACAACCCACTCTTGGAGTGAATTGGCAAGAATAGCTTCTTACCAAGCAGACTTCCCAGAGAAGGCTTGGCACGGCTGAGATATCGGAGTGCCCATGACCAAAGTCTGTTTGATCATTTAGATCAGTAGTGTCAAACTCCATTTCATTGAGGGCTGCATCAGACTTGTGTTTGACCTCAGGGGGCCAGGGTGGGTGTGGCCAGGGTGGGTGTGGCCAGCTCAACGTCACTCATGTTGGTGCCTGGGGTGACACGAGTGCCCTGCCAGCAAAAACGGGTTCCCGAGCTCCATTTTTGGCTGCGACGGCCTCCTGCAACCCTCTGCCAGTGAAAACAGAGCTCGGGAGGAACCTCCCTGTGGGTGTGTTTGCCAAAGCAAAATAAAGAACACAAGACAAAAGGAAGTAGTGGATGGCAACAATCCCCTTTAAAAATGCATAAAGTTTAGCCATCCTTAAAACAACAAATTGATGTGCTAAATTTTGTTCTTCAGTCACTAACTCCTGATTTCTCGCAAACCCATCAATTATGCCCAGCCCCACTGCTCTCCACTGTCTCCTTGAGTTTGCCCAAACCCATGTTCTCTGCATCAATGACACCATCTAACCATCTCATCCTCTGCCATCCCCTTCTCCTATTGCCTTCTATGTTTTCCAATTAGTTCTCTCTTTTAATGTCAGGGTTCCAAGTAACACCCCCAATGAAAGAAGACTCTGAGGCTTGAAGTTCCTCAAAGTTCCATTTTGTTAGAGATGCCATATTGGCACATCTGGGGAAAAACAAATCTGAAAGCTTCCAGCTTTTCCCCACCCAAGTAAAAGTCCAAGTCCCTGCCATCACATCGTCAATCAAGCACAGTCCCACCTGGAGATGCCTCCCAGTCACACCCCTCCAGGTGCCGGGGAGAATGTCCTTGACTCTCTGAGAAAGGAATATTATTATGACTATATATCTCCCATACTCCATATAACCCCCTCCCATTTTCCCACAGCATTAAATGCGGCAGGCCTGAAGGCCCAATGNCTTGAGCTAAATGCAATTTCCCCTTCTATATTGTAATTTTCACTTTAAGAATAATGCATCATTATTATGCTGTGGTCTACTCTGTTATGAATAGCTCTACTGCCACCTGGTGGCATATCAGCTTATAAATGCAATTATGATTTTCGCAAGACCTTAGAAAAAACAACGGCGGTGAATTATGATCCTTTCTGGCAGAGCAGGAGGGGTCCAACCTTGGGAACTTTAAGACTTGTGGATTTCAACTCCCAGAATTCTCCAGACAGCATGTGGTGGGGAACTCTGGGAGTTGAAGTCCACAATTCTTAAAGTTCCCAAGGTTGGAGATCCCTGCTCTCTACAGCATCCAAATAAACGAGGTCTGAAAATACAACCACGACTCCGAGCTGTAATTTTTAGAATCAGGATAATACCTGCTTGTTTGTTAAATACGATTGATGAATAGATCAATAGAGTACTAATGTTATTCACTGTTACAACAGAAAAAACTGTTGTTCTGGAGCGCACCCGAACCAGTAGTAAAAAAACTGGCAACCCACCACTGGTCTTACTAAGTCTTTATAGAGTGGTATTAGTACCGCACTTGATCTTGAGTGTATCTCTCTGTTAACATTATTTGTATCCCTGTTATTATTTGCAAATCTTCAAATCATATCTTACGTGCCTGCTACTCTTGGTTTCCTCTTTCAGGATGGGTGGATAAAGTCTGGAATTATCAACTTGTAGAGATAATATGGGGGGGGAAATGGAAAACCAATTTTCAGACACCAAAGATTTGTCACACAAACTCAAGAATTTAAGTCCAAAATGCCAAATTTGTAAAGGAACATCTAGGATGGTCCTTTACATGTGGTGATGAACATGTGGCATGCATGCCACAGGGGGCACGCAGAGCCCACTCTGCAGCCACGCCAGCCGTCACCCCAGCCTAGATCCACCACACCTCCCGCCAGCCAGAGGGCATGGGTGGGGTGCTCACATTGCATTTTGGGGGTTCACATGTGCTGTTCCCCCCCCCCATGCCCCATTTTGGGCCTGGAAGGTCTCTTGCACCAATCTGGAAGCCCAAATGGGGAGTTGGGGGAGAACGTATGCACCCCCCTGTGCCCTATTTTGGACCTGGAAGACCTCCTGCACCAACCTGGAAGCCAAAAATGGGTGAGGGGAGGCGGGATGCATAGGATAACATGGATAGATTGGGGGGAAAAACCCTTCCTATTTCCCATCTAGTTTGGGATAATTAATGGCATCCCTGCAAAGATTTTATCCATCGAGCAAGACATTTTCAACATTAAGCTACTTTGCACTATCACCCACGATCAGATTTTGATTCTAAAGAAGCTGCTCCAGTTGAACCTGTGGGAGGTGAGCTCAGGTGACATCAAGCTAGGAACCTCATGAAGCTGTGTAGGAAGTTAGTACCCACCCCTCTCCTAGAAGAATGAAATATCCTGGCTGGGAAATATTGAAAAGGCAGAATACGACATTTCCCTGGATCAGAAATGGAGAAACATGTTTTAAGGCAGGAAATGGACTCACTCTTAATAGCCCCCACCTTTGTCAATGGGCCATTAAAAGGCCTGAGCCAGTCTATTCTACATAACAATGATCTCCCCCCTTCAACTCCAGGATGATGGGATTAAGGCATGATAGTATTAGCCCTTTACCCATCTCACTACAGGGCACTTGGGACGAAGCAATGCTCAACCAAACTTGGACTCAAAGCACAGCCTACAGAGTTGGCCCTGCATGGTCCCATGGGAGTCTGACAACCAATCAGAATAAAAGCTCAAGATCAAAGGCCAGAGAGGGCATAAAACCAGGGACTTTCAGCATCTTGTTCTCTTTTTCTTCTTCACCCAACATCTGGAAGCATGTGATCCCCCTTTTCTGTTCAGGAGCTCAAGGCATGTGATTCTGTCCACCATTAAACCATCTTTCCAAGCAGCCTCCATGTTTCCAGTGTCTTTTCCCCCCACTTGGAACTGAACCCAGAAGGACATTTCTTCCAACAGCTGCTCACACACAACACCCTCCCAACCGCTGAAGAGTGGATGATGAGACCACCTCCAAGCCCTCCGACTCTGCTAGTAGAGGGAAGAGCAGAATAAAGACGCTGAATGAGGCTCCTTCCCAGGCAAGGGAGGAACTAACTTAATTAAAGTTAGCTGATTGCAACCTGATTTAAGAGGTAGCCCCCGAGCCCTGTTTCTCTTTTGGAAATAATCCTGTTCTGAGTGGTTCCTCTAAATTGGCTAACCTGATTTGGTGCTCCAAATCTCAGACTGAATTTTGGTTTCTCATCTGAAACGACCCAGGCAAGCTTTTATTCCAGAGACCGTTTTGATTTTGATGTATGTTCCCTTCCTCGTTATCTGCTTGGCCTTGAGTAAATTGCTGCTCTAATCTAGCAACTGTGTGTGAGTTGATACCGGAAAACAGGACTGCTTGTTCCATAGGCAGACTGAGAAAAGAGTGAAACTACAATGGAGCAACTTCCAGATGAATATACTCCTCCAAGCCAGCAAATGGATCCATCTGCTACTCGGAAGCAGGAGCTATTAAACCAGCCAAATACTGAAGATCATATTCCTCCTCCTCCTCCTCCTTGCAGGAGAAGCTCAGTGATCAACCCAGACAAATCTGATAAATTGCTGGACCATTTTCCAACGTACCTGGTGGGATCCAAATTCCAACTGAGTGTATGGCCTAAAAACCTCCCAAATGAATTCTAATCAACTTATTGATTGAGCCGAGGTGGCGCAGTGGTTAGAGTGCAATACTGCAGGCTACTTCAGCTGACTACTAGCTCGGCAATTCAAATCTCACCAGGCCGAAGGTTGACTCAGCCTTCCATCCCTCTGAGGTGGGTAAAATGAGGACCCAGCGCATTGGGGACAACAGGCTCTCTTAAACTGCTTAGAGAGGGCTGTAAAAGCACTATGAAACAGTATGTCTAAGTGCTATAGTGCTATTGTCTAGAGCAGTGGTTCCCAACTTGGGGTGCATGAGTAAAGTTAGAATTATATGTCACAGGGGGGAGGCATCAGAATTTTAGAGATGCTTATGTGGGGTTTGGCCAAAAAAAGGTTGGGAACCACTAATCTAGCGCTAGAGCTGCTAAATGGGCTATTCCTTTTTACCTACCCTCTGGTAGGTAACTGATGGTTTTAGCCAGCAATTGTAGGTGATGTACATGGATCCAGTGAAAGTACCAACAAGCACATTCCCGAATTGAAGCAAGAGTGTGGCCCATCTGCACCGTCAAGTTATTGGCCCAAGACTTGGAGTGAAATGTTGCAGCTTTGATGGACCCGTTTCAGAAGAATCTGTCCAAAAAAATGTCTTGTAATTTAGCTCTAAATGTCCAGAAACCTTTCAAGAATTAATGCACCTCTGCCTATAAGATGGACATCTACGGCAAGAAGGGGTCGGGATTCAAGCTTCTAAAAGATCTTTCTGGCCATTCCTGCATCTGAAGAACCCATGTAAGTAGGCAAGACTCAACCCAGTTCATTCCAGAAGACTTAGACCCTGGGGGGGAAGGGGTTATATTGTGGGGACCAGAGTCATATGGCTTCCACATGTCCCGTAAGGCACCATCAGCAAATTAGATGGTTGTGAAATGTGAATCTGAGATACAATATTTGTTTAGATTGCAAACCAGGATTATATCAAGTTAGTTGTTTCCACTGAGTGAATATCTTTGTTCTCTTCTTGATAAAAATATTGAACAGGAAAGCAAGACAGAAAAAAATCTAGACTATTCTCTTCCTGCATTTATTCAAGTCATGCAAAATGTTATTGCATGCTGCCCTATACATTGTTTCTGTTTTTGTCAGTCCTGAGATATCTTAAGTCCTCCATAGAGTTATCAATAAGG